GAATTAGAATGCACAATGGTAGTCAAGTTACAGATACATGAGCAGTGAGTAACAGTGAGGTACCTGTTGTTCGAACACGCAATGAACCACGAGCCATCGTTAGGCAAGACCTAAACACTACTGCACACCGTCATACAATAACCACAGAAGGATGTAGAACCTTCTGCTCGATAAGTAGGAACTTAAGTCATGTCGATGCAAAACCTTTTTGATTTCGTGTACATTGTTTGTTCGTTCTAAACTCATGAATTGCTCACAAGCAACTGACTCCTGTCTAAAACATGACATTGTACTTTTTGAAAATGCTCGAAGAGCCGAGAGTAAGACGATTCCCGTAGTCGTAATTCTTCTTTATGAAGACGGGCTAAATAAACTAGACGTATTTCCTTTGTCAGATGGAAAGACAGGAAGTGACTTGGTCACAGTTTTTAATTAATAGTTGATAAATTTGCATCTGATGTGCTCTAGTTTTTCCTGCCTTCTAGAACGGAGACTTCAAAAAGACACTGGAAAAATTCATAAGTCCAGAAAAAATTGTATGTAAGCTGACTCCAAGCACTAAGATTACCCAAGACTCCTTCGTATAACATTAGCTAACACTTCTGACGTACAAGATATTCTGCTAGCTAGCTCCTTGCTGAAATCAGAAGGGACAAACGAATACTGCTTGGCATACCATATTTCGAGCGTAACACCATCAGGAACATTCCATCAGTTCTTTCGCGGGAGAAGTATTATTGTGCAAGGTGTTCCATAAGACACAGTTCCCGAATAAGCGAACTCAAATGTTCTAGAGTGGAAATTCATAGAGCAGTCCTTAGGGCGCAAGAACAATGACTCGATAAGTGGTGCGAATAACCATGAAGGACGGGGATTCTATGCCCCGAGTAACGAAAATAACCTTTCCATCCTCTTACACGGTGTCCGCCACTCATGAGGCATTTTGCAACAATAGACATCGACTGCATATGCGTCCGGACAGGTAACATAATGCAAGGATCAAGCCCAAAAGCAAGTTGGATCTGACTATTTCTTTTGTGGACCGTCAACATCAAGGAAAAGGTAGAAGGGGATAAGATATACCAACTCGGAAAACGCTGTGTAGGTAGGTTGCCTATGCATTCACACACAGCTCGTTTGGACAATCTGGACGAGAAGGCTCACGCGTTTTGAATTAAAAGTAAAAACTGCCTATATATGAACACCATGAGCTAACCGAATAAAACAATTGAGTAGCGTGAACTAGATAATGCTAACAATCATAATTCGACAGGAATATCTGAAACATAAATATCTTCACAAATTGGGGAACAGGGGCTAACAATGCTTGGCGTGCATTATTACTATCTGAATAATACTAGTTCAGTCTTTATTTTGCAAAGACAGGAAAACAGAAATGGGGTGCTGAGTAGCTATGTGTCTGTGATTTCTCTTGACAGAACATCAAGCGTACACCCAAGTTGTCAACCTTGATGAATCTTAATGGTGTTCAGTAAGATTTCATAACACCTCGTGGTTTTCAGTTGGGGTTATCTATAGGAAGCCCATTGCTGACACCGAGTTTGACAATCGTATATTGGAAGGATTGTCCCGTTCTACTCGACTCGGATAAACTCAAATCCTGATACTAGGAGACTTAAGCCTTCCTAAAGTCAACTTCGCTGAACATACGTATACTGGAGGTGACAGGTGTACTGAATCTCGGTTCTCCAAGCTCACTGAAGATATGGGATTATTCGTAAATATCAAGTCAACAACTCGTCGGAGAAATAAACAAACGGCGTCGTGCTTAGAATGAGTATATGCAAACGAAGAATCCCCAGTTGACATCCTCTCGCCCTTGGTTCCCCTGGGTAAAAGTGGTCATGCGGTCATAGTCTCTAATTTCATCAACAAAACTAAACTAAGACATCCTACCAACAATAATAACTGGAATTTTAGATGGTTGTGTGTGTCATCTTTGTAGAAAAATATACAGCAGGTTGACTGGGAAGCTCCCCATCAACTTGATGTGGATGCTCATTAGGATTTTTTTACTGCACATGATCCTATGTGCTTCAAAGCAGTCTGTCCTGAAAACGGTCACCAAATATCAAGAGCAACCTACAGTCATGAAAAATGGCACCCTTCATTTACCAAGCGTCAAAGGCACTACTGGGCGGAATATGAACAAGCTGGCAACACCAACCCATACAGACAATTCAAACAAGCAATGAGTCAACTCATGGAGGCAATGGGAGAAGACAGGCTTCAGTACCAGATAAAGCTTATCGACAAGTTTATCCCCAATTCAAAAAGTCTATTCTGTCATTCAGCCTCTCTTCGACAAGCCAAAACCAAAGTTTCTCAACTTTGCATAACTAACCTACCTACCGTGGTGGACAGATGGACAACCATCGTTGATCGCAAGGGGCAAGGTTAACGTCATACGCCTTTACTTCTTGAAAGTTTTGATAGAGCCAATTATGAATGTCCTGTCACCGAACTGAAACAATTATGTATCAAGTCTCCACTGATTGATTAACTCACTTCACATCTAAATAATCTACATTTTAAAGCAAGGTTAGCTTCAATTTCTCTCGGGCTATGGAGTGTTTTAGTGAGGTCCCCCAGGGTTCAGTACTAGGATCTCTTCCTTTCTTAATTCATATAGACGATCTTACACAACAGGCATCGTCAGAATTATTACTTTTCGCTGATGATGTGAAACTCTGGAGAGTCGTTTGCAGCCGAGAGGGTAATCGGAAATTCAGGTGGATCTGTTGTTGTTCAGGCAACAGAGAACTTACCTTAAACACTTCAGAATGTAAACTAGTCCATCTAAGACATGCTGCAGACTACGAATACAACGTCGGTGACTTTTTATAGGGGTGTCTCAAGTTGACGATCCCTTTAAATCTCTGGATCTTCATTCATCAAAGTGTAAGAGTATCTGGGGTTACCCTACAACGACTTATAGAATCCTAAACACTTCTAAAAATCCCAAAAAACACTTACCTAAGCCCAGTCTCAACTCCGCCTGTAGCTCTTATAGGGTTGCTGCCGGTCCCAAGCCCGGGTAAAGGAGGAGGGTTGGGCATGGGGTTAGCGTCCCCATCCCGTAGAAAACTAACTCGCTAAAAAAACCCTAACCAGAAAAAATAATTCAAACCATTTTAACTCTGCCCTGGGAGTTAGAAGGTCTTCATTTAGAAGAATTATGACGTTTCATGGTGAAAGCCGAGTTCCTTCGGAAGCCACGAGGCCGATGCCCCTTCTAACAACCAGAGCAAAAATTTTTATAGGTACATGGAACGTTCGAACAATGTGGGAAACCGGGAAGACCAGTCAAATATCAATGGAAATGAGGAGACACAACTTAGCAGTACTGGGAATCAGCGAAACCCACTGGACCCAAGCTGGACAGAAAAGGCTAGCTACGGGAGAGATGCTGCTATACTCCAGTCACGAAGAGGAAAATGCTCCACACACTCAGGGAGTTGCTCTAATGCTGTCCAAAGTAGCACGAAATGCACTTGTAGGATGGGAATCTCACGGATCCAGAATCATCAAAGCATCATTCAAAACAAAGAAGGAGGGGATCTTAATGAATATTATCCAATGTTATGCACCCACCAATGATAGCAACGACGACATTAAAGATCAATTCTACGAGCGGCTGCAGTCAATCATAGAGAAATGTTCAAGAAAGGACCTCACCATTCTGATGGGAGATCTAAATGCCAAAGTCGTAATAGACAACACTGAAACTTGGAGAACTACAACAACCACAATCGAGAAAGTACAAGTATTTATAAATAGCTGTCTACGCAAGATACTCAACATCCATTGGCCGGATACCATCAGCAATAGCCTTCTGTGGGAGAGAACAAACCAACTTCCAGCTGAAGAAGAAATTAGGAAAAGACGATGGAAATGGATAGGACATACATTACGCAAATCGTCAAACTGCATTTCGAGACAAGCCCTAACTTGGAATCCTGAAGGGAAGCGGAAAAGAGGAAGGCCAAAGAACACATTGCGTCGGATAATAGAAACAGATATGAAAAGGATGAATTACAACTAGACGGAGCTAGAAAGGATTGCCCAGGACAGGATTGGATGGAGAATGCTGGTGAGCGACCTATGCTCCTTCACGAGGAGTAACAGGCGTAAGTAAGTAAGTAAGCCCAGTCTCAACATAAAACTTGACGGTAAAACCCTGAAACTATCGACACAACATAGTAGATGGGATAGTAGACGCACCTTCTACTCCCTAGAAGTAGCCAAATATTGGAGATTGCTGCCAGGTTACTAGTCCAAGTGACATATTGTTGAAGAATGAGGACAGTGAAGTTGCCACAGGTATTCGGAGTTTGACAACGCTTCAACCAGTAAAACCTTATATGAGTCGTACCCACCAAGTGAAATCAAAAGACAGAAGCGAGGATGTTCGAAGATATATTTGAGAGGCTATCAATATATCGAGGATCGACTGATCCAGAATGGCTAGTGATTGCAGGGGATGTTGAGCACGGTGTTCCCACTCGTGATCTGATATGGATGTATGACTGAGAGCCCACAGCTAGGTGAGTCCATTAAAACTAATGTGGTCAGCATCCAATGTCGGAGACTTACAGAGCTATTTATTTTGGGGATTTATTTACCGCTACAACAGTATGTCCATACAAATTAATATTTTTTCTCTTTTATCGCTAAATATACCCAGGTTATTACTTGGAGGCATCAGTGATGCACTGCCACTAGATACAGAAGTCCGTTGGGCGAACGCTCCTTCTATTCCGTTCAGAAACATTTCAAACCATTTATGAACTTTCCCATAGAATGACAAACGAATGAAATTTATTAACTTGATACGTGATTGACGCTCTGTCTCTCAGCACATTAAAAAATCGTTAGAACGATCGAGAGACAATCACTGTTACGACCAACACAATGCATTTGGGTCGTTGTCCCTTGAAAAATTGGCGATGTGTTGATTTAAGTTCTGAAGGTGACCTAGCCAGATAACCTCGTGGGGCGCACCTTTTGAGTTTACTCGTGGCTGAAGCTTTAAAGGGTCTTGCTACATATTCCGAGTCTTTAAGTACAACCAGAAATATATTTAAACTCTTCCTGTTTATAGTCGATATTTTCAAAATAACATAGTAATTTCAAGGTTTAGTCAAAAATTTGAAAGAATTAGTGTTTATTGAAATTTGGAGGCGGTCCGAGTAATTCGAGAAATTAGTTTTTTAAACTGGCTAAACCTTTTATTAAAACGAACTACAACGTCGTGGGAGAACCAGTCAGTTGGCTTTTTTCATCCAATAGCAGCTGTATACCCTTTTTCTAATTTAAGGGTATATGGCGTAATGTTTCTCTGATTACCGGTACAAGTAGTGAATTATAATTGTCCGTCAAGGTCATGAAAACCAAGTACTTGAATGCTCGCGACAATATTTTTTCATTTTACAGAGCATTAGGCTGATGTTAACACATTTAGAGGTTGACTGGATGTATCTCAATACCTTCAAATATTTTGAAAAGAGTAGTTATCTGAATGCTCGTGCTCTGTTCTCGAGTTATGTAAAATGGTTTCGTCTGGTTTGCTACTAGTCGCATGAGTAGTATTTCGTAAAATGAGGTAAAATATCAGTCATGAAGAGTGTCTGTTAAGCTGTTACAAGAGCAAGGTGCGTTTCACTATACCATTAACATGATTAAACTTCTGAATATAGCCTTGAGTATCGCTCATGATGTGGCCTCCTAATAAAACCACTTGATTTGGTTTGGGATTGCTGCCAGTATTCGAGTCCTCACACAAATCGAGCGACTTGTGTAGCGTATATGCATGTTTATCTGTTTAGATAATGATAAATTATATTGAGGTATGAATTCTAAACGTAACTTGTGTTGACGTTTTCAGTCAATTGATGTGACTGCATTCTTTAATTAATATACTATATATGAAAGGGTTATACATGGCCCACTGGGTATTTGGTCATGTGGGATTTTATTTGAATTGTAAGGATTGTTTTTCTAATCTGGCGAGTCCACGTTTTAGGATCAAACTCCTAATCGATTAACATCCTGCGAGCTGTTGGTTTGTTAAGTAACTTTGTTGGTTTCTGAATGTCCAGTCCACTTTTTCATTTTCTCATTAAATTCACAATGTCAAATAAGTTTTCGTATTATTTTTGAAATTTGTGTACTAAACTTAATCAAGCTCTTTGAAGATATTTTTGGTATTCTCAAACGCATATGCTGAGCAAAAACTGAAGTAAACACTTATGATCAAATTTATTTTACTGCGCAATCAGTTTTTAGATGCGTTAAAATACATTTATTACGTGGGGTATACCTCAGTAGAACACATTCTACTGTCTTAGTGAGTACACCCATTTGCCTCCTTTTCCAATATAGTTAACCAAGGCGGAACAAACAAGCCCACCAACTTGAATTTGCTTAAAATACTACATTTCAAGACAGTACAAAACAAAAACATATGTACTAGATGTAAAATAAAAAACTAAGTGATCAGCAGTAAGCTGTCAAATGTTAAGGAACTATAATTAACCTTCGTCTGCCAGAAAAAAAGTCGAGCTATAGCTTTTGAGGATTCATTACTAAAACACTAAGTTCAATCGGTATTTAGGCTGAATGCGTATCGACTACGGTAAGTACTCTTAAATGAAACTGCTTACATTCTTTGTTGTTATCTAATTGTGCTAGACCCTACATTATTCCCAACAGTTTTTTACCTGTTTTGTAAGATTTCTCTGACGAGTATTGTTGCATACTAGATTGTTCTATTCGGACTTCGTATATGGTTTGGACCGGTGGTTTCAAAAAACTGAACATCTAATTTATTGAAAATAGATTTAAAATTCTATTTATGAAAAGCTTAGCGATTGGAATCAAGTGGTTTCAGTGTTTATTCCTCAATCTGGTTTGATTATCATGGAGACGTTAGTCACAACATCCAAACCTTGATTTCACTCGTTTAGTTCTTTGCAAATGTAATTTAAGATTTAACTTATTGTATTCTTTTTTGTTACTATCTAATAAAAAAGTTTTGATTTCCAAGGTATATTCTACGATATTTTGGTTTATTGTCCTTACAAATTTCTTTAATCTATTTCCGTTTTAAGAAATAGCAACACTTCAGTTTTTTTCCATATACTCACATATTTGTTCAAAAAATGTACGAGGTCCAACCACGGCAAGTAGATATTGCGCTTGTTATCGCATGCCACGACGGCAATTTTGAAGAAGTCAAACGATTGGTAGAGGATGATGATGCAGATATATGTTACCAGGTTTGTTACAGTCCTTTTCCTATGAGTATCACCCTCATGAACTTTTGCTTACATCCATATCTTCGTTATTTTTCTTGTGGTAACGTTGCGTTCGGTCTGCGAACGTTTCTTTTTAAGTCTTACTCTTATTAGTACATTTAAAACTGGCTAGTGATTGATAATCGTAATTTAAAGCCAAGTAAAACTGGGAAAATATGTACTTTGACTATTTATTAGCTAAATTTTATTATTCGAAACTAAGTTAAGTGAAAAATTTAAGTTGATTTAATTTTGTGTTGATAAGTGTTACAAGTTGAGATTGTTTCCATCAAAAATAGGGGAAAATTATGTTGTAGACGATGATTCATACACTATATAAGTTCAGTGTACGATAACCAGTGTCAAAATACGTCTATGGATTCTGTCACGACCTATCAGTATGATGCCATTGAGTTCATTACACTTGGTTGCCCAAACCGTTATAGGTGGAGAAACTTTTATACACACAAACGTAGTATTAAAAGCTGAATGCTTTTGCCACTAGGTCACGACACAACAGTTATTGATGTACTGTCGTAAATATTCCTGATCGATATTCAGCTGTATGGGCGATCCTAACGGTTTTAATTTTGGTCTTTTAACTTGTTTTACACGAAAGTCGTTTAATTACTTTAGTCGCCATAGGAAATGCTCAGTGCTTCCGAACTCCAAGTAATTTAAAATATCTAAGATTGTAATATCACTAGTACGATTAAACACGAAGTACATGACTAGAAATTTGTCTTGTAACTGTAGGAAATAAACAGTGAGGTTTTAAAATGTCTTTACGAACGCTCATAAAATATTGTGACCTTTGACTTCATTCTGGAGTTAAATTTAGTGAAGTTGTTGAGTCACTTTTACTATATGATCAACCAAAGCTAACTAGTAAGGCTAGAAGTGGTGTTATGGAGTCATGTTATGGTTTCAAATAGTCTATATTTTCTAGACATCAATGTCAAGGTCGGAGTTGACAGTTTCAAATAAATTGAGCTTTAGGTAGAAAGTTAGTGATAAAAGTATTTTTGTTATATTTCAATGAGTAGAAAATGTGTATCCTGACGTTTCGTGACTTGATGTAAGCCACATTTTCAGAGTAAATAAGAAACCGAAATAAATTAACACAAGTTTGAATAAGATCTTGAACCAATTGATGTTAGACCATCACAATTGAAAACCTGGAAGCACTGGACGGCCGTTTCGTCCCATTGTGGGACTCCTCAGCAGTGCGCATCTATACTAGTAATCAACATGTGCTCACTAGTGACTAGCTTCGTGAGGGAATTCTCGGAATTCTAGTGAGAAGCCGTGACCAGCGGAGCTAATCCTTGTCGGGTAGAGACAGTTATCTACTTAAGTACAATGGAAGTTGGTCGCGCAATTTCGTGGATTGGTTGATGTTAGAAACTATCACCATTGGATGCCGGCTCAGTGGTCCAGTTGATTAAGCGTTCGCGCGCGAGACCAAAGGCCCTGGGTTCGAATCCCGCTCGCAGGATCGTGGATGCGCACTGCTGAGGAGTCCCACAATAGGACGAAACGGCCGTCCAGTGCTTCCAGGTTTTCAATTGTGATGGTCTAACATCAATTGGTTCAAGATCTCAATCAAAAACTTAATAATCTCCACAACCTCTATACAAGTTTGAATAGTCTGTATTTTACAATTCTTATGCCCAAAATCACTTTCAGCTATATGATGTTAAAAGACTATGAAGACGACGGGATCAGCGGAAAAGACATGACTGTTTCATAACGATTTGATGCTTTTAAAAAGCATTCAGGTACCAAGGTGTGATAATAATTACAACAAATCATGGTACTGAGATCGAACTAAAAACAAATATCCCTAAAGACTTTGTACTACACTTATATCCTTACTAAAAGTTTCGGATTTTATAGAACACCATCAGAATACTAAAAAATTGTGTGTTCAAACCTGAGTACTTGAAAATATACACTTCGAAAATTACAGGCAAGATTACATAGAACTCGTTTCGACAAAGTACTTAATAATCCCAGTTAAATATACACATTTAGCATTAGGCGTATGCGCAATCTTGTATTACTGTAATATTTGCTTATCCTTCGTTTTCTACACAGGATTTTAAAACTGGAATGAGCGTATTAATGGTTGCGGCAGGAGCTGGACACACAGATATTGTAAACTATTTATTATCAGAAGGTGCCCCCTGGAATGCAGTTGATCGAAGCTATTTGTGCGCCGGGGATTATGCCGCTAGAAATAAACAGCAAGATTGTATTGATATCCTGATGAATCATGCAGTTATGTCTGAGTTACTTTTGTGTATTGCAGTAAACAAGTCAGATGAAGGAGAGTCTTTGAAGAATGTTGATTCTATGGATCTTACTACTACTGTAAACACACGTGCAAATAATTCCTCAGAAGCTCTTAACGCTTCTTACCTTTCTAGTCGACTGGAGTATTCTGATGACAGAAAATGTCTCATTGACACTAATACTCATCTAGCTGTAATGATGGATTGGGAAACTCCAATAATGGAGAAACATGCAGCGTGGATTTGTCATGCAGACGAAATAGATAGTACTATCAATTCACCTATTCGAGTTTTAAATGTTGGATTTGGTTTGGGGATTGTTGACACGGCTATACAAAAGTATTCACCTGACTCACATTATATAATAGAAGCTCATCCGGAGGTAAGTTTTAATTCAAAAGGTATTCCTCTAGACTTTAACATCAGTGAGCAACATCCTTACTGCTGTTCCTTATTCCTATCTTAACTTCTGTCCTTATTTCAGCTGCAAATCTCCTAGTTCATTTAATTATGACTAATTCAGTTGTATTTCGAAACTTCACTAAAGTACAACAAATAACCTCTCTTGAGTGAGATGTCTGGTAGATATCTACAGCATAATCTAAAAACGATAAGTTCAATATATTTCCGGACATAATGGCTGAAAACAATTTAGCGAAATATATCTTTCGGACGGTTTAATCATTCATTATAGTGTATTAGATACTCTTCTCATATCTCCAGTCAACCATTAGAATACTTCGTTTCCAACTGAAATTGAAAACTACTAATAAACATGTATTTTTAAACTGTTTCATAATAAAACATTCTCAATTTTTCGAACCTTTAACAGGTTAGTCTCTTAGATTTATAAATGCTTGAGTGACGTTGACTAGATTCGTACCATATTTTCGGGGTTGTTTATAACTGTACAGGCAGTGCACATTCATGACTTGATATGAAATGAAACCCATAAACTTGACGTTTTGAAGTAAGTGATAGACCTACATCACTACCATCGGAACTGCTTCCAGAATGTCATCGATGGTAGAGTTAAAAAACAATACCGAGATTTGCCAACCCTGCCAAACCTCACTGCTGAATCAAAACCGAGCATAAAGGTGGTCGTATGCCGTTACTGCCTGTAGTATTTGTATATTGGACCTTGAAGGTATTAATTAACTTACCAGGCACACCCTTCTACACCAGACAATCTCAGAGTACATTCCTGTCCAAAGGATTAATGGCAGCCATAATATCAAGAAACACAACGATTGTCGGCCTCCAATAAGTATAGCAATGCTCTAAAATTTGATGGAGAGTGAAAATATGGTCGATACATCCACGATGTGATCGAAAATCAGCCTGTTCCTCCCGAGTCAGTCTCATGAATTTCACACGGTCCAATTTCTCTCAAAGCATTTTGTAACCGAGTCTCTGTTGTCATCTTTAACTAAAAATCTAGTATGAATATGCAGTGGTTCAAGCTACCAATTTCTCCAAATAATAGAATAATTTAAGTAAACGAAAAATACAGTGTTTATAACAAATAGTCAACTTCTATGGGGCAAACAGTACTGTTGTCTGTCTCCTGATAAATTATCATCCCCATACTTTTTGTGTTTACAGTAACTCATGAATTTTTATGGAATTTTGTCTAACCATATTCAGTATCAACAGTTTTCCTGACTTGATCACATTGCTAGTTGGGGTAAACAGCTAGTCAAACTACATTCAGTATTTTAAAAACGATCGTTTATGCTGGGCACTTTATTAACTTATCTGTACCAAAACTAAACCTGTTCATAACGTAAAGAATGTCTCCCAAAAGTCATTAAATTAATTACCGGTTACCAGCGCATGTTTGTGTGTAAAAAGTTGTTTGAAAGAGATGGTATTTCCAAATCCCCTACTCTTAAAATATACATAACTGACCGTAATATTTTCCTTGTTTTAAGATGCATAAAACATCCTAACGATCGAGATATACCACTTCAAGTACATTAATGGGACATCATATAAAGTATCAATACCTAGTGTAAACGTATCACCTGCTTTTCCATGCTAAGTACCCTCATCAGATAGATTGGATTTGTGTTTGGTCAATCAGCTACAACGTAGGACCAGGCACATATATGCATCGATCTAAGTTGTCATGCCTCACTGGCACAATAAAATGAACACCAAATTCATAGCAGTCACTTCAATGGTAGTAATATGTAAAAGAAAGGTTGCATATAAGGATATACTAAAGGGAGAAATAATTAGTTCATAGAAAGAAAGATATCAGGCAATTTTAATCTCACAATTTAAGGGAAGACAAAGAGTGTACACACCGACGCCATTGTGATCGATTCTGAGCCATGTCACCAAGAGTCTCCAACCATTGGTTACGATAGTCACGCGGACCCCAACCAAGTAGACTGCATTTACCAACATGGCTCAGACCAGAAGTCAGTGACTTCAAGCACTGATGCCACGTTTTGGTTTGGCCGCCCATAACATTCTTCCAACCATCTCCAACACCGGTTAGCATTGCACGTCGTGGTAGTCGGTGTTCAGGCATACGTAACACGTGGCCCGACCATCTCAGTCGATGAAGATTCACAACCTCATCAACTGATTTACCATCATTCCCTAATACCCTGTGTCTAACCTCACTATTACTTACCCGGTGATCCCAGCAGACGCCAGCAATAAGGCATCTGTGGTCAAATATTAGTAACTTACGAGTGTCTTCTACTCTTGATGGCCATGTTTCGCTGCCGTAAATTAAAACAGAACGGACTGCCGCGCAGTATACTCGTTCCTCAATTGGTAGACGGATATCTCGCCTTCGCCATAGGTGACGTGAGTTGGCAAAAGCCAAGCGAGCTTTTCGAATCCGTGCTGAGATTTCGTCAGACACTTACCTATTAGGGCTGATCAGACTTCCAAGATAAGTGAAGTTATCCACGCGTCCGACTACTTCACTCCCTATCCTTAGTTCAGGTGTTGACTCAGACCAGTCCTGAAGCAGCAGCTTGCATTTAGAGGGAGAGAAGCGCATTCCAAACATTCTGGCATTGTTGCTCAATGCTACCAGAGCAATAAGATGAAAAGTCATGAGCACCACTAAACATATTGGTCCTATTGTAAGTTTATTTCCAACTATTTTACAACCGTGAGTATAAACAAATAAAAAAATGCTATCGTTGATTATGAAACCTCCAATTGGGTAATTTTATAATCCTGGTAACCAAAAGTGTTACGAGGTTTTTGTGTGCAGCTTTGCTTTACGAATTAACGGAAAACCAATATCACTGGTTTATTTCCTTATCCCTTTATTCATTGTTATAAGAAGATTGACACTGTCTGTTTTAAATTCAAAACATTATTTTTGCTTGTTGATTAGGGCTTTCAGCCATGCCTCAAACAATGAATAATTGGTATTACACGTGACTCTTAGAACGTTTCATGGGGTGGTGACTGTTTAAAAACGGCGTTTCTTTCTGCTCACACAATATTGTTTCGGTGTAGAGCTTATGCTTGGTTAACTAAATTTTATAAATGCCTCTACTAACGTAGCACTGATTGTAGGTGTTGGAGAAAATGAAGTCCGAAGAATGGTTTGCTAAGCCTGGCGTCAAGATAATTCCAAGTAAATGGCAAGATGCGGTCGTTTTATTAGCCAAAGAAATTGATGACGGGGCCATTCCAAGGTTTAGTGGAATATTTTTTGACACATATGCAGAGGACGATAATGATTTGAGAGAATTTCATACGTGGTTACCCAAACTTCTTTCTTTACCTAATCAAAAAAGTGTGGGAGATCCATTTTTCTCAGGAAGGTACTCTTATTATAACGGTTTGTGTCCTGACAATGTATTTTTTCACGGAGTCGCATGCGAAACAATGAGGTTGCATTTAAAAAGGTAATTTGCATTCTTGATGTTTAATTAGATAGCATGAATTCAATTTATTAATTTCTAGACATACTCCTTTTTAAAGAGAGCAAGAACAAAGATTGGTGCAAATTCATATGAATTCATCTTGTTTCGTTAGGTTCTCATCAGCTGCTTACAACCTAAATTATTTGAAATTCAACATTATTACAGATATTGACATACTTATACACAAGAGGGTGATTAAGGATGATTAAATGTATCATGGTGTAGCGAAGATTTCGTTAGAGTTAATGAGGTCATAAAATTTTGTCTCGAATAAATAGTTTGAGAGGGAAGGTTCCAGAACATTGAAATAGTGATTAGAACTCATGAAAATAGAATAATGCTAATAAAGAAAATATGAATTGAAATCAGTCAGTTATATATGATGTAATTTAAACTTCAGAAAGAGTTGGAATAATGACGCAATAAATAATTAAGTAGAAATAAATGAATAAATAAAAGAGGGGGAGCTATTGTTACCAGGGTATCATCTTAGTTTCCTGTATCAAGGAGATGCTTTGCGATGGCACTGTTGAATGCTTTCAATCCATTTGATGTTAAACTTTTCGGAATATGTTCTTTGAATCGGAAGTTTAATTACATATATAACTGACTGATTTCAATTCATATTTTCTTTATTAGCATTATTCTATTTTCATGAGTTCTAATCACTACTTCAATGTTCTGGAACCTTCCCTCTCAAACTCTATTTATTCGAGACAAAATTTTATGGCCTCATTAACTCTAACGAAATCTTCGTTACACCATGATACATTTAATCATCCTTAATCACCCTCTTGTGTATAAGTATGTCAATATCTGTAATAATGTTGAATTTCAAATAATTTAGGTTGTAAGCAGCTGATGAGAACCTAACGAAATAAAATGAATTCATGTTATTCTGCACCAATCTTTGTTCTTGCTCTCTTTAAGATAATAAAGGGAACTATGTGTATGAAAAATACTCCATTTTAATTGGCGAAACCCCTATGGCAGTAAACAAAGGAAAAATTGGTCGAACTCTTTTAAAACCCTTTGTATAAAGATTCAGTGAATGGTTTTAAGGTTATTTAATGGAAATTTAGTAATGGAATTATTGTCCAGATTACAGTTTAAAATCTCAAACAAAGCTTAATGGAATTACTATCATTAATTTGCAGCATTTCCCTAATGAAGTGAAGCGAGGTACTTACAGATTAGCTACACAATTGATATACCGGATGAACTTAAATATCTTTCCGCAGTATACTACGCTACTGAAATAGCACGGTAATAAAACTGGTGACCGTATGATCGAGTTTATATTGCCGCTAAATTGGATATTCGGAAGATCGGCTATACACAGACTAGACCACGTTTTATCAGATATATGGCTCATGACCAAAAATAAAGAACCAGAGTAACGGGAAACAATACTTCATTTCTAATGGTTACAATAAGTCACTCTGTGGACCCACAGTAAAAGCCAATAAGAGAAAAGGGAATCACATGTTTAATAGTAAACTGCTTCTCTGTTTGTCCACACTCAGTGACCAAACACATTTACTCTCACTACTACACATCAAGTACAATACAGCCACTTTCCTGATTACTGTTCGTTCTCACACTCTAGAGGTGTTTGATAGTCTTTTGAAGTGTAATGACCAGTAGCAAGCTGTTATAGGAATATATAGATACGTCCCGTTGCCTGTGTCTACTTCTATCGATGACAGCGTAAATAAAGACCGTCTCTTATTTTCTCAGGTTTGGTAACTTTAGCGAGTAATATTAACTCCCTAATAGATAAGCTGAGTTGAAAGACTGGAGCCGTTCAGATGATCTATCTACTCCTGATTCGTCCATTAGTCATGGTAGAAGTATTTAATCAGTTGATTTTCTTAATATCAAAATGAGGATCGATAGTCCTCCTTAATATAGCATTTAGATCTATGTTGAAAGTAAAATTACAGAAGTTTCTGCAATACACAAATGACTTTATTGCGTCCGATTCAAATAGATTGAATAGTTTTGATCAGTCCTTGAGATATAGGAGTAAAATTATCAGGAATGAGGGTTGATATCTTCAGAAATGCAACTTGACATACGTACGTCATATGACATTGCGTGTAAGTAACTTAAGTCTGTGGGTTGCCAAAAATCAGTGGCTTCCCATCTTATTTACGAAAAGTTGGATGGTTATTTATAATAACCATACTAAATTGGAAATACCATGGATCCACGAATTTTCAATCTCCCTCAGACAATTGCATATACTATATCTTTCCCTGTTGTCGCTTTTTCCTATTTATCGTCCACCATTATTGGTTCTGTTTTCGGTTTTTTCTTGCTATCTTGATGTAAACTATGACGTAATGGTTCTATCTCTGTTTCCTATACGTCAATTATATGTAAATCCGAACACTTCTGGTTCATGTTTGCTGGAATTTTAATACAATACTTACATTTTTCTTATCTAGGCTGGGAATAAGTTGTATATTTGACCCAGTTGCTGTCGACGTTGCAGACCAAGAGATGTGGAAAGATGTTTCTCAAAGATATTGGTATTTTGATACATATTTCTTGCCAAAGTGTACTTTTGATCCTGGCGAAAAGGACTAATAAAGTTTATTCCGTCAAAACACAATGTTTTGTTTGTTGAGGTTTTAAAACATCAGTGTGCTTTATCAAAGCGCTAATATTTTCGTATACTGTTTCGTCATTCCCAATGCGTACGCGTGCTTAAACAAGTTAATTTTGATTCAATGATTAGTAGTAATTTTATCATCATTTATCGGCAGTGTAAAGGAAATGAGTCGAATCCTTCTTCTTGCACTATATGGTACACAGTGCTTCTAAAACGGAGATTCACTGTTAATTCATGGCTGTTCGACATAACGGATAACGACGAAGTCTAATAGTCAGACTTTAATTTCATGGGTTTGTTATTGACCTACAAGAAGTCATTGACGTTGTAAATAAATTTTAATCATGTTTGTCATTTTGCTTACTTTCGTTAATTGGGGTATTGTATTAGTAACTAAGGTTCTGTGAATAACTATCATTACTTCACATTATTCAAATCAGTCCAACCGATCGGCGGGATATTTAACGACCACACATTTCCTCCGTTATAACACTACAGATAATGTTTGGTTTGATGAACCTCATATTTCATAAATCATCCATATTTATTCATCATTCAAATAAGATAAATGATAGTAATTAGGCTAACTCGCTAATTTGATAACGAGGGTGAGCTAATTAATACACCCTTTAATTCTTGCTTAACTCTTCCGAAATATAAGCGTATTTTGAATAGAACGCAGGTTCGGTAGTTTAGCTTCGAATTCATATTTGTTAAGTTTAAAAGTCTAACAAAATATAGCTTTCCGGCAGAAGTTTGCATATTTTTAATTATAACTCAAAATACCTTATAACAATCGTCGGACCGATGTCACAACGGCATTGATCTTCCAGGAGGTCCACTCATCGACTTAGAATATGCAGATGATATAGTCCTGTTTGGTGAAGATACTGATAAAATGCAGTCTTTTGTTAGCACTGAGCAACAATGCCAGAATGTTTGGAATGCGCTTCTCTCCCTCTAAATGCAAGCTGCTGCTTCAGGACTGGTCTGAGTCAACACCTGAACTAAGGATAGGGAGTGAAGTAGTCGGACGCGTGGATAACTTCACTTATCTTGGAAGTCTGATCAGCCCTAATAGGTAAGTGTCTGACGAAATCTCAGCACGGATTCGAAAAGCTCGCTTGGCTTTTGCCAACTCACGTCACCTATGGCGAAGGCGAGATATCCGTCTATCAATTGAGGAACGAGTATACTGCGCGGCAGTCCGTTCTGTTTTAATTTACGGCAGCGAAACATGGCCATCAAGAGTAGAAGACACTCGTAAGTTACTAATATTTGACCACAGATGCCTTATTGCTGGCGTCTGCTGGGATCACCGGGTAAGTAATAGTGAGGTTAGACACAGGGTATTAGGGAATGATGGTAAATCAGTTGATGAGGTTGTGAATCTTCATCGACTGAGATGGTCGGGCCACGTGTTACGTATGCCTGAACACCGACTACCACGACGTGCAATGCTAACCGGTGTTGGAGATGGTTGGAAGAATGTTATGGGCGGCCAAACCAAAACGTGGCATCAGTGCTTGAAGTCACTGACTTCTGGTCTGAGCCATGTTGGTAAATGCAGTCTACTTGGTTGGGGTCCGCGTGACTATCGTAACCAATGGTTGGAGACTCTTGGTGACATGGCTCAGAATCGATCACAATGGCGTCGGTGTGTACACTCTTTGTCTTCCCTTAAATTGTGAGATTAAAATTGCCTGATATCTTTCTTTCTATGAACTAATTATTTCTCCCTTTAGTATATCCTTATATGCAACCTTTCTTTTACATATTACTACCATTGAAGTGACTGCTATGAATTTGGTGTTCATCTTGTTCAGTCAGTGAGCTACAACGTAGGACCGGACACATATATGGATCGGTCCAAGTTGTCATGCTTCACTAGCACAATAAGATGAACACCGGATTCATAAAAGTAGTTAATTCACAGGTGCTAATACATAAAAGTAAGACTGCATACAAGGACATAGGTGATGTAAGTTGGCAAAAGCCAAGCGAGCTTTTCGAATCCGTGCTGAGATTTCGTCAGACACTTACCTATTAGGGCTGATCAGACTTCCAAGATAAGTGAAGTTATCCACGCGTCCGACTACTTCACTCCCTATCCTTAGTTCAGGTGTTGACTCAGACCAGTCCTGAAGCAGCAGCTTGCATTTAGAGGGAGAGAAGCGCATTCCAAACATTCTGGCATTGTTGCTCAGTGCTACCAGAAGACTCTGCATTTTGTCAGCGTCTTCACCAAACAGGACTATGTCATTTGTGTATTCTAAGTCGATGAGTGGACCTCCTGGATGGAGATCAATACCCGAGAACTCAGTCGACGAGAAAGTTATTTCCGTCAGTAGATCTATGATGAAGTTAAACGAAAATGGAGAAAGTGGACAACCTTGACGGACACCACTCGAGGTCGCAAAAGCAGATGACAGTTCGCCATAAGCTCTGACTCGACTTGTAGTGTTCGAGTAAAGAGCTTTCACAAGGTTTATGTACTTCTGAGGTACGCCTTCCAATGACAGACACTGCCACAGGATCTCGCGGTTTACGGAGTCAAATGCTGCTCTTAAGTCAAGAAAGACCATCATTGTCGGGCGCCGATAAGTATGCCTATGTTCTAGAACCTGACGAATGGTGAATATGTGGTCGATGCAACCATGAACATGTCTGAAGCCAGCTTGATTTTTTCGTGTTTGCATTTCACGAGTATTAGTTAGGCGTCTGTTAATTATCGAGATATGGCAACTTGGACCGATGCATATATGTGTCTGGTCCTACGTTGTAGCTGACTGACGGTATGACTAGGAAATTAAGTTTAAAATAACAAGTAGCATAATATACAGTTCAACTAACCCCGTCCGACCAAAAGGTAAATCCTACTTAGACAGGACAGGATACGTTAGCCCAGGTTTAGTCACGGCATATTTAACCAATTCGTTGAGTTTTAAAGGTCTTAAACACCCAAACAAGACCTCCCGCATAACGCATAGTTGGCTCAAGAACTGCTACATAGTTACTGATAGAGATCTCAGGATTCATTCTAGGAATACTACAGACGTCTAGTATGCCAGTTTGGTGTCATAAAACATATTAAGTCACATCGTTTTCAAGGGACTATCTGTAAAAGTACTGAGAACTGAACTATTACAATAATGTAAAGAAATGTTTTGTAGTAGACTGCGGGAAATGCATCAGTTCAAGCTGCTACATATCTCAACATAAAAATACAATCCGGAAGATACATAATTGACATAGACTAAGAAAGGCAAATAGGTCCGGAACAACATCAAGACCACTGCTCAATATTTTGCAGCCTCCAATTACTGACTTGTAAAGAGTCACGCACAAAAGACATCTACCTTTCTCTTACACGACTCAAACCAACACCCGCTAATTTAATAGTCAGTCAGCTACGGCGTAGGACCAAGCACATATATGGATCGGTCCAAGTTGCCATCCCTCATTAACACAACAAGATGGACACCGGATTCATAAAAAGTAGTTAATTCAGAGGTGGTAATATATAAAAGGAAGATTGCATATAAGGACATAGTACATGAAGAAAGAAAGATATGAAGCGATTTTAATCTCTTAGTTTAAGGGAAGACAGAGAGTGTATACACCGACGCCATTGTGATCGATTCATAGACTAAGTTCACATATGCATCAACATAAAAACGCCTAAAGTCGAAACGAAGTACTATGAATGCTCGTGTTAAATTATGTTAAAATACACAAAACTTTAAGAAAGAGTATGAACGTGTGGTTTTTACACCACATAAATCTGACTTTGAACAGAACATACAACAGTGAGAAAATGAAATTATACAAATAGTTAACAGAGATTCTATTGATTAATTACTTTTCTTTTCACTATACAAGTCAGATACCAAGTTCTGCAAAAACCCATCATATATACTTCTTTGTAGTTCACCTTTTATGTTGAAGAACTCCGCAGCGGACTTTTTGACGGAAAGCGTTTTGACTTTTTTGGTAATGCCGTCACATACTGTTAAGCTTAAATGATATATGGGATCATATCTATGGGCAAAATTGGGGATTAAGAATGATATTACTTGTTCATATATGAGCATACTGTCCATGAGTCGGCTGGATCTAATCCCGTCTTATCTTCTTTCAGTCCAGTAAAGAAGACATTCTTCTCTATATACATTACATACAGTGTAATTATAGCAGACAGGAAGAAGTAAAGTGTAACACAGACTATTAGTACTGCTCGGGAATGAGGATGTGGGTACAAGTAATCGAATAAGACTCCGAAGCCAGCTATTAGGACAGATATCGTACATAATATTAGTCGTCCATCGAAAAGTTTGTGTGTCTCGAGTAAACCATGCTTTTTCATGAATAACTACGAAATATTGCTTAAAACATGTGTTACCTCTTTAGCTGCATCATCAAGTGCTATTTTTAGCGCACCAACATCCCATTTGTTGACTGTCACCTCTTTCGAAGTCTCAGAAGACATTTTAAAATATTGACGTGACGTTTGACAGAATACGTGTACAAATGGTTCATTCGAAGTACACCTTAACAAAATAGTTATTTTTGAACTGCAATCTTTACTAAGCAGCAACGTTTTATTATTTTCGAATATACTGTCGTATTCTTTTTATAGCATTGTTCTGTTTTAGAGAATTACTGAAAATAATTCGGTTGTACTTCAAAACCTTAAAATTTTGGTGGAAACAAATAGCTAACAATTTGTTCTTCAGTATTCGACTGTGAGCGGTAAAATGAATTACCTTATTGTGTAGAAGCATTGTTCTTGTTTTATTTCTTTCGAACCTAAATGGTAAAACCACTGGTAAATAATGATATTTTGAGAACTAGCATCTGAAATAAATTCTCGCAGTACCTGAGGAAATGGAGTAAAAGCTGAGCCTTCTCTATACATTTTCGGCGAGAGATGCTGTGACTATCGCTCCCGATCGGAAATTTTACAGCTTACTGATTCTAATGATGGGGACGTTGACATGCATCGTCGTGAGAGCTGTCTTATGTCTTCTCTAAAGAACTAACTTCTTAGTATAATTTCGTGCTAAATCATATGAGCTGCTTGTTAAGGCGACGAAAAAAGCACAATATATGATTCAACATATTTACTGCTGCATCTGTTGTAGGCCTAACGATGCCAAAGTAGCTAAGTAGGGTCTCCACTTAATTACAAGTAAATTTGTGGTCGTTGTTCTTCTTTGAATTCGTTGCTAGATGACGATCTCTCCTTTAAGTAAAATGATCTAATGTAATTGCTGTTTTTCATCGTTAGATTATGCTCCTTCGATAGTTTGTGTGTTCTAGGTTTGGTGGGGAGAATAATAAAATGCCGCCCCCGTTCGGTTCTGCGTCGGAGTTATGGGAGGCGATACGACCTGATAAGTTGAATGTAGTGGTCCCTCAGGAAATAAAGTGATCAGATATTAATTGTGAAGAGTGACCTATGGCGTGGTAGGCATTACTGCTTTATGCCACGAACGTTACACACATTAGTATTTGTAGGAATCACATTACTAGTAAACTGATCATACTTTGTGTTCAAGTCGTTTTCTGTGATAGAGGTATCTGTCGGACCTGTGCCTTCGAACCGTCTGAAAGATTGAGAGGACTGAACATTTGGCAAGTCGTTGATAAACAGTGACTGTTGATAATAATACTGAATAAGGAAGAGGAATAGGTTTGGAAACCTATGCTTATCGGTCTTACAAAACAAACAAACTATGACAGTTAAACATTCTTAAGAAACCTAAACAAACTCCGAGTTCCAGTTATTACTGTCACGAATATAACAGTTCATGATCTCCTGTATCGAACGTCGTGAGGGAGCTCAGAAGTCTAATATGATATGATCGTTCAAGCTTAAATGACACGGTCCAATTGTTCACAGTGATAATAATGTTATCTCTCAATCTCGGAGTAACCATCGGATGTGTGGGAAAGATAAGCTGAAGTTTACTTGCATTACGAGTTCTTTGGATTGTTCTGTGCAGCTTTAACATTAGCATTTCGCTGAGTGCATCGCCTCTAAATTGTAAGACGTTTTGCTCACGATCTGGCCTTCCATATGCTCACTTTTTGCAGCTAAATGCTTATCTCAAGAAGGGGGTTTGTGGAGATTTTTAGAAATTTTCACAGATTGAAATCATGAGTCAGTTGAAGCTAGACCACCATTGAAAACCTGGAAGCACTGGACGGCCGTTTCGTCCTGGTATGGGACTCCTCAGCAGTGCGCATCCACGAACCCGCACCACCCGGGGCTCGAACCCAGGACCTACTGGCTTCGCGCGCGAGCACTTAACCATTAGACCACTGAGCCAGCATCCAACGGTGTTAATGTCCAACTTCAACCAATCCACGAAGTTGCACCATCATATACCATTGTCTTCAGTGAGCTGATATCTCACAACAGACCTGGTTGTACTCCACTGGTAACGGCTTCCCACTAGAAATCCAGGAGTATCTCTTGAAGTCAGTCACCTCCTTCTGATAATAATCATCTGCTCACTGATGACGGTTGAATATCACTAAATCGTTTGAATGTCTCTATCCGTCGTTAAAAATGATGAACTTATCTTCATTGTGTCGACAGTATGAGAAAAACCTGTCAACATCCTGTCCAGTAGTCCTTTTTCCAGCTAAGTGGGGAGAATGTCAGCTAGTGGTAAATCAATCACAACACCACCTATTTTTCTACATATTTCACAACTGAATTTGAAGTTCAAGTCCATGGTGCACACTAGTAACAATTCCTCCGTGGTGTCCACAGGATTTGTAGTCACTATTTATTGTTCTCTAATTTTTTTCACAGATATATCTGATAGTTTCCCTGAGTTTGACATTTGTAGACAATGGTATTTCGTCTAAGGACATCATTATTTGTCATTTGTTATTTACGCTCTTGAGGTTATCAGAAAACTGGGGTACATCCATAATGCTATGCTTCACCAGGTGTCTATAGAGGGGGTTTCAAATGGTCACGAACCACTTTGCTGGAGTATGATCACGAGAGTTATGTATGCCGAAAATTGGTCTCTTTGAGATATTCGGCTTGTGTACCTTCGGTAATTCATATAACCTCGGTAAACATGCAGAACAATGTCTTAAACTATATGGTTTTTAAAGGATTTACAAATGGTGTTTTATATGGACTGAAGAGAGGAAAGAAATCTGTGTTCGTCATGAAGCTTCCAAGTTATCACTTTACCCGTTCAATTATATCACCCCACTTTTTTTGTTAAAAGGCAGTCTACTATGGCGACAAATAATTTTTTTGGGGAGATATTCTTATAGATATCGGATACTTTTGCGAATCACTTCGGTTTTATTGGACACTTCTGGCCACTATTTTCAGGTCAACTATCCTAGGCATATGTACTAACGCGCGATGTGACTTCGATGTAAGGTAGGGAACCATTCTAGTCCAGTCCGTTTCAATTAAACACACTTCTTATAGGTCGTTTATATTTGCTCATTTTTCACCACACCAAAACAAATGTGGTTCAGGTTTCTGAGTGTAGTTATGTCCGATATTTAGAAATTTCATCATCTCTGAAAAGCATTAGATTCAAAAGGCTAAAGTTCTTGGGGGATTTTCATGACTATTATCTACAATCCGTGACCTTTTTGATAGCGTTTCGTATCAAATTTTGTCGCAAACTACTCACAAACGTCGTCAGAGAATCTGTATCGACTATTCACGTAGGTGACAACCATTTTTATCATATGTCTACATATATTTATTGTTTACCTGTTGTAAATTCAGCCGGATAAACCCTATAACTTGCTCTATTTCCTCCGATTTCGAAGCTTTGGTGTTTGTGTATGTCTCTGTACTAAGCTATTGGACTTTCGATACCTTCAATCAATGCAAACCAAGTCATACATAACTATGGGATTATAGAGAGTATATTCACCGTGCGAACAATGCCTACGTCTTCTGGTCTGCATAATGTAGTGCTGTAATCCCGCTAAACATATTGTGCTTCGTCCTACAAATTTCGTGAACGCATAGTAACATATTTTGTCGTAGATGATGAAGATGCCACAATTATTCGGAGTTTGACAATGCTTTTTTCAGTAACACCTTTATAATTGATGTATACCAGCCCAGTCAAGTCAAAAATCAGAAAGGAAGAGTTGGAAGGTATATTTGAAAAAATATCGATATATCGGGAGGCGTTTAATCTAAAATGGTTTACGGCTGTAAAAGATGCGTAGCACGACGTACCCACTTGTAATCTGGTGCGTGACCGAGAGCTTTCAGATAGTTGTGTCCAGTAAAACTAATGACGCCAACACCAATCGTCGAGGATTTGTTGAACTATTTATTCCGGGGAATTATTTGCCTCTACAACTCATTCTCTTCTAGTGAGGTATTGAGGACCCTAAGACGAGGCTAGATAGAAGTTTGAACCAAACGAGCTAGCCGTTGGTAAACACCCTTATGTTAGCTTGCTATTTGCAGCAGCACCTGGTCGTCTTTTCCTAATATAAGGGGCCATTTGGTACACAAAAGCGATGAAAAAAGATACGATGAAACTTTCTATTCATCGCATTTTTCGTCAGTTTATATCGTTTACAGCCATCCTGAAAAAGAAAAAACAAATTTCAAACGCATGTCGAAATACACTCGTACGTGCGTAAGAACACAAAATATAGTATTAAAAAATAAAACTGCACACACATACTGATAAAATTCAATTGCACAGAAACAATTTTCGCAGTGATTTTTTGGGTGTTTTGGAAAAACAAATACATACACATATATGAGCATACTAGTAAGAAAATGTTTGGTTTTAGGTTTTTGACATAAAAATACAAAATAAATCGAGACAAAACAAAACGTTATGTTATGTCCTAAGTGCAGTAAATATTCAAATGTTTTGGGAACCTTGCTCTTCTTCCAGGACGCGTTGCTATAGGCCGATTATCAGATACCAGTGAAGTTTTTTTCGTGACTGTTGGTTATCAGGTGTGGCATCGTAATTGTGGGGTTTGTATCCTTTGATCGTACCGAAGGAAACTCAACATTATGCGGGTCTCCTTCCAAGTACGCGGCTTCAAGCCGATCAATGCTGATGTTATGATTAGTTCCGTTCTCATAGATGATCTAGTACTTAGGTTTTCGCAGAAGGACTTTGAAAAGTCCTCCACATGCTACTTCTATAGGTCATCGTAACGAGTCTCGATGCACAAAATGTGTGTACTATGTCATGAGGCAGGTTGAACGAGTGAAAACAGATTCAAATGAACTCATGGCATTTGTCAGCTTGCTCGTGTAAGACTTTAGATCCGCATTTATCAAAGAAGATGAAAGTTCCATGAACTCTCATGGAAGTCAGAGTGTTCTTCCACAAAAGAGTTGTGCTGTAGTGTATATAATTTCAGCTTCCACTGAATTGCAGATAGCAAGTGAAACGAATGGAAGAGCGTCAGTACACTGTGAAGCTTTCAACTGTCAACAAAATCGTCCAACCAACCCGTTTGTATATGGATGGTGGGCGGTTTGTCCCAATCTGCCATGTTTTACAGTCGTTGAAAGACAGTGTTCAGGTGCTGGAGATGAAATCCTCTGTCCGGACCTACGA